TGCGAGTCAGTGACATGACTGATCTGAAATCTTCATAGCTTTGCAGTCGTATGCTCTGAGAGTGTGTTTGCGTGTTGTTTGGGGAGGTTGGTTTGGCTGCTGTCTGTATTCGTTCTTATCATATTTGGAGAGACGCTAACCGGCTCTGACAGGGGCACGTACAAGGGGTCTGTAAGGTCCCGTATTTGGAAAAGCACTATGGAAAAATTATTCACCATCATTCTGACAATTCTCTGTCAAGATCAACTTTGACAGCTCATCGCTCGCATCCTATTTTTGTCTTTGTTTTGGCTTATTTCCATTATTTTTTTCCCCAAGGTCATAAAAAAAAAACACTGCAACTCTTCAAATTATGGCATCTCCAAAACTCCAGTTGCTCATCTTCAATTAAGTATTACATTTAAAAAAATAAACCACGTCACTCCGTACCTAAAGTCACTCCGCAGGCTGCCTGTTCAGTTTAGAATACATTTTAAAATACTATTATTATTCTTTAAATCTCTTCAGTCAATCACTCACAAATTTATTTGAACAGCTGCATCACTTTACCCCCATGAGAAGTTTAAAATCTTGTGACCAAAACTTTCACTCCAGACTAAAATGCATATCTTAGGAAATGTCTTTTTATTGCTTTTAATTAGCAGAAGCACCCTTTTGATACAGCCATGAGTCCTTTCGGGAAAGATCCAAGTTTTCCACACCTGGATTTGGAGATCCTCTGCCAGTCCTCCTAGGAGATCCTTTCCAGTTCTGTCAGGTTGGATGGTAAACGTTGATAAACAGCCATGTCTAGGTCTCTAGAGGTGCTCAATTGGGATTAAGTCAGGACTCTGGCTGGGCCTTACAAGAACAGTCATGGAGTTGTTAAGTCACTCCATTATTTTAGCTGTGTGCTTAGGGTCATTGTCTTGTTGGAAGGTAACCCTTCGGCCTAGCCCAGTCTAAGGTCCTGAGCACTCTGAAGGTTTTCATCCAGGATATCCTTGTACTTGGCCGCATCCATCTTTCCCTCATTCCATTTCTGTAGCTGAAAAACACCCCAACAGTTTACCTGAAAACTTTTGTTATTAAAAGTCCGGGACACAGGGGGGGGGGGTGCCTGGTTTTCTCCACACATGCCGCTTAGAACTTAGACCAGAAAGTTCGATCTTGATCTCATCATTAATATGGGGTGCTGCTGTGTGTACATTAATGTGGAAAAATGAACTTAAATGACTTTACCAAATAGCTGCAATATAACAAAGAGTGAAAAATTGAAGTGGGCCTGAATACTTTCCACTTAAACGACTTAAACCCAATTGAGCATCTTAGGAGAGCCCTAAAAATGGCTGTCCACTAACGTTTACCATAAAGCCTGACAGAACTGGAGAGGATCTGCAAGAAGGAATGGTAGAGGATCCCCAAATACAGGTGTGAAAAACTTGTTGCATATTAAATCAAAAGGAAGCTTCTTCTACATAGAGCAGAGGGTCTGAATATTTAGGACCATGTGATACTTCATTTTTTCTTTTTAAATAAATCTGCAAAGATGTTAACAGTTCTGGGTTCTTCTGTCAATATGGGGAGCTGGGTGCACATTAATGAGGAAAAATTAACTTAAATGATTAGAAAATAAATTCAACAAGATATTCATTTACTTTATCAAAGAGTGAAAAGGTTAAGGGGGGCTGAATACTTTCCATATTATACCCACTGTAAATAGTATTTCCTTGTTTATGTGGTGTGTTTTTACATATGAGATGTTACACATGTATAGCCTATATTATGTAAAAACAAACATTTATCGTGTAAAGAATTAATCATTCGACAGCTCTAAAATAAAGCAACTTGATCTCCGGAAAACACTGGGAATACAAGATTATGTCCCATTTTTATTAGTGCCACACGAGCGTTCTCCTTTAGCCCTCCTGGTATTTCTCATTTGATGTCACTTTCTAATTCATCCCTGAGTAAATGGCAGTCGTAATGCGAACGGAATGAAGAGCGGGCATGAGGCGCGTGTCGATGAGAGGAAAGCGGCCCTCCATGCAGCAAATTATCTTCCCAGCACGGAAGCATCTGTGCTCAGTCGAGACGAGAGAAAAACAAGGCTCACCTCTCCTCTCCTCTGCTCTCCTGCCCCCTAAAAAAGCCCAGCAATCAATAGAAAGTTCATTTCAGAAAGGCGCTGTAGTAATCTGTTTGGCTGCACGCGCACCTGTCCCTAATGATCTTTCCCGCCCAACAGGATGACCTAATCTTCATTCAAATGAATCGCTGCACAACACGGACGATACTTTATCACTCCCTCTCTCTCTCACACACACACACACACACACACACACACACACACACACACACACACACACACACACACACACACACACACACACACACACAGTGATGGAGGAGCGAAGGCCGGAGAGTGATCAGAGTTCAGTGACTTAAAAGCTCTGTTCATCTCCTGCAAGGCAAACAGGCCATTATCAGCAGCATTATCTACTATGTATTATTTTTACATACGCCGGCAGCATACTAAAACAACTCTGAGATTTTAAAGCAAAAACAATTATGAAAGGAATTATAGAAATAAACACTGGAATTGAGAGATGGAAAAAAAGACTGCTAAAATAGAGCTGTAGAGTAAAATTATAAACAAATGTTTGTACTGTTAAAATTTCTTTGTTATAATGTGTAATGGTCACTAAACAGTTAAATAAATTAAAAATATTAGCTTATAAAATGGCATCCATGCATGTTTTCCAGTACTGGGTTGTGGCTGGAAGACATATGTAGTTGACGCTCATTCCGCTTATAGCGACCTCTGTTAATCAGGGACTAGGCAGAATGAAAATGAATGAAAGATTTCATACATGCCAGGTCTATTTATGTCAATGTCTTTTTTTTCAGTTTTTTTTTTCTCTCCAATGAGCAAATGATCATTTAAAAAAGGGGCAGAATCTGACACTTTTGGTTGCAAAGGGTTGTAATGATTGGCTACTAATAAATCAATAAATCTAATTTCATGCGTTTTCTTAAAAAAACAAACTATATATATATATATATATATATATATATATATATATATATATATATATATATATAGTTTGTAGTCCAAGTTGCATGAATTGAGCAGATTGGCCAAATTCAAATGGTGTGTGGTAAAAAGTATTTACCAAAACTTGTTTTCCATTACAATTTAAAAAGGATATATATTACAATGATACTTTCCTTATAGGCTGAATAATCTATATATTTGATCAGCAAATCATTCACATCCTTATCATGTGTATATCTAGGGGAGAGCAGGACACAAAGCAACACTGGTTTTGGTCAAATAATGAACAAAGTAATAGACTTAGACAAACCATTTTTTTTTTTCCAAGAACACACAAGCCTCTCCTACAAATGAGCACTGGAATTATGATTGCTGGACCAGTGGTTTCTGTGCAGTATTGCCAAAAGAGCCAGGAGTAAAAAAAAAATATTATTAACACCACCTGCAGTGCAAGTTGTAACACGGGGTTAGTAACACGTTAATTTAATTTCTATTCAGTTTAAATAGTAGCTCAGTAACTGGCTCAACAATAATCACAACAATATAAGATTTTAACTTCATACTTTCACAGATTTTTGAAATAAAAAAAAAAAAAAAAAAAAGTTTAATAAAAAAATACTTTTTTTTTTTTTTTTTTTTTGCTGTCAAAATGGTTTCTCCTGTGTTTCTCATACAAATTTGGCCAAAAATTTTCAATAATTGGCAGGAAGATGGGTCGGAAAACTCCCAGACTGTTGGCAGGTATAATTAAACCACCACCACCAGGCTAAACCGGTGATACAAGGCAGATCCATGCTATCATGTTGTACTTTACATTTTTTTACTACCTTTCTATTATATATTTTCCATATTATTCAACCTACTTTTAGGTGTCAATCACTGTTTGCATCTTGACGCACACCCAGAGTTAAACTTCCAACAATGAAAATAACATTTTAAAATAATATTTATCTGCTATCAACTCATGCATCTTAATCACTAGTGAAATCATTTAAATATTTTATAGTTATTAATGAGAGACTATTATGAATATTATTTTTCATACAAAATATAGCTGTCGCACAGTATCAGTGTCATTTCCACCACAACACTGTAATGCCACTTTAAAACGTTTCTGTGAAAGATTATTTCGGTGGTTTCTATGAAAATGAATAGTGCCATCTGAGAACATGTTCAAGATGGAGGGAGTTTCCAAACATGTTGTACCTTCAAAGATGTTTTAAAAAAACCAAACATAATTCAGGTAAATAAGATTGTTTTATATATATATATATATATGAAAGACTAGTATCAATTAAATTTTTCACAATAAACTGTTGAAATGTCATTTCCATCACCACACACATTATTAAAAAATATTTAAAAAGTTCTCATCACACATTAAAAGTGTATTCACAATGAAGAAGTTAATGCTCTATTTAATATACAAATTCAGTTTATTTGCTTTCTAATAAACTCTTAACCAAATTAATTTTACATTTTAGGAGTGTGACAGGTGAACAATTCAGCAAACAATTAATTTATTTCATTGACCAATGTATATATTGTGGAAAGACTGGTTAAACTAGATACAAAAAATGATCTTACACAATGTTTGACTGCCATCATTTATTTCATTTTGAAAGAAGCTGTATATTGAGGTGTGGTGGAATTGACATTTGTTCCGTTCACGATGGGAAAAAAGTTTCTCTTCTCATCTAAGTTTGTCCTCTTACAGAACTTAAAACAAGACAAATTGTTTAAAGGCTATGTTACGTAAATTTTGAACAGGTTTTTTTACTTAACTTCACAAGGCTAAAAGTACCCGTAGTAGAAGAATGGCCCGTATATGCTGAGCACTGCATATCTGACATTTAAAGTTAACAAATCAGTTTAAGTTCCATGCAGCACCGCCAGATGGCGCCAATATCCAGCCAAAAACTGCATCAATACCACAAACCTGTAAATCAAGCACAAAATCTAATAGTATGTCTAACAAGCTTTATTGATACTTTATTGGCTTATTTTTCACAATGCATTCACAGACAGCATACTTTCATCAAAACTGAATAATCATTTACAAATGACCTGCATGAAGAAACAGTGCTTGAAGTTTGCGACTTTTTTTATTTATTTTTTTTATTTATTAATTTATTTAAGAGCGTGCGCCGTTTCAGGTATTCGATCCACGATGGAGACGCCCATTTCTGCAAACATGTTGTCGGTTTTGACATGACAGGAAGGTGACAGGCCAACACAGCATACTTTAGAGATTACTTCTTTTTAGTTGTTTTCGCTAACGGCTAAAAACAGTGGGTGCAATACGCCGTAATAGATCCCTTTGAAGACGAGTGTAAAATAAAAACTGCTCTTAAACTCTGCTACAGAAGCCTCTTCACCTCTAACACAACTTCATTGCATCAACTTTAACACAGTTACACCACAACACCACTGTGTTCTATCACTCCAAGTACAAACGAAAAAGGGAAAAATAGCTAAAAACAAAAAGACCTGTTGTGAAGGAACTTCGCAAAAACAATTCACTCCCTTCAATCATACTGAAATGAATCCAAATGGCCTTCAAACAAGACAACGCTTCACTGACCCAATAGTAAACAAACAAAAACAAAAAACCTCATTCATTTCTGCTTTCGTGGACTTCAGTTCCTCGGACTACATTCTGTAATGGTGGTTAATAGCTGCGTTTGCTTCAAACATAGAGAACTAGATCTAGTGTGAAAGACGAGTCTGCTATTGTGTGAGAAACTGATAGAGGTTTAAAAAAAATAGGTTTCATTCTCGGTTATGCTAACGTTGGGGGGAGGTTGGGGGATAAAGTTTACATTGTGTCGTCTAAGGCCTTTTTTTCCAAACCAAACACGAATCTGTCCATCATCTTTGTTACACCATCACGTCTTGTGCACGGAAATAACACACAATCCAACTTGCTTCACTCAGTCTTTGGCTTCGCTCCGGGAATCTTGGCCTGGATCCTGTTAATGACACGTAAACAATGATTATTTTAGTGCAAACGGATTCTGGAAAGAATATACCTGTTTGACAAAAAAATATATATTAAAGTAACGGTCCATTTCACACTGGACTAAATATAGCATTTCTAAAATACTGCTCATCATTAAATGACTAAACCGTTAAACAACAAGTCTTTCACAATGTTTAAAGCAAAATACTGCAAGCGCATTTTGGGCCCTATCATACACCAGGCGCAATTAGGTGCAAGACGTGTGTGTCGTGATTTGTTTTATTTTCTGACCAGTGCAACTAATGCAGAGTTCAGACTAGAGAAATTTCCGAATAAATTGCGGGAGCGGTCGGTAACTGGTTTAATTTTGGACGGGAGCGGGTGGTCTAACAATATCACTCCCGAGCGAGCGAGCACACGCATGTATGTATGTGAATGAGACTACGTTTATGCTGTGTTCAGTTTTTTTGTTGCTGTGTGCGTGCGCACGTGAATGAGAGGTGTGTGTGTGTGTGCACGAATGAGAGAGTGTGTGTGCTTATGTCCGTGTGTGTGTGTGTGTGTGTATATATATATATATATATATATATATATATATATATATATATATATATATATATATATATATATATATATATATATATATATAGCTAGGTGGTTTTCAGTTTTGTTCTTCCCCCCCCGCTCTATAGCGGGATCGGGTGTGGCAGGTAGAAAACGGGGCGGGGCAGGCAGCGGGACAACAAATGCTGAATATAGGCGGGAGCGGTCGGGTTCGGGCTAAAACCTGGTGGAAGCGGGATTCAAAATGTAGTCCCGCACAGATCTTTAGTTCAGACTGCAAGATTTTCAAACATGGATGTTTTCAGACTGCATGATTATCTGGGTTAGCATTCTGTCGGTGCTGTGTTTACACTGTAGGATGGATCGGCGACAGGAGAGTTCACACTGCATGACTTTACAATAGGAAGAATCACAGACAACTTTGTCTAAATTACATCACGCCACCAAACAAACGCGAGAAGTGACATGGAAACAGCACTAGCTTTTCATCTGTTTCTTGGGTCCAAATAAACTGAAAGTGCGCATTTAACCTCTGCCCCAGCCTCCCGCTAACCTGCAGGTACTCATACTAGTGAATGCTGCCCTCTCATTGGCTGTAGGTGATAGAGGATGTTATTTTTAATCATAAAACATTTCACATGGCATGATTTGAATCGCTGATAGCTCCAGATATTTACCATGCCAAATATCCAACGGGTGTCTGCGACTCATCAGCGATTCTCTCATATTGCATCTTTGATAGTTCATACTATGCGATTACATGTTTTGTGTCACTCTGTGGGTTTGCTAGTCTAAAAAGGAGGTATGTTAAGGCACATTGCTATTTTGAGCAACTAAAATAGACCGCGCCACTGACCATCTAAAAGTTGCCCTAAAGTCCAGGGCACGCCCAAATGCTTACATATTGCCTAATACATACAGGATGTACAGCAATACACATATCTTTACATATGAAAAAAATAATCAAATAGATTAAAATGCTTTTTTATAAAATAATGTCTTACTAAAAAGCTCAAATAAAATGCACAACACAGATGCAAAAATAAATAAAGAAAAATAAGCTAATTTAAAAAAATGTGAGTGTGCGAGATTGTGTCCATTTAAAATGACACGGGTATATCAAATAGCTCATAGTAACACGTGTTAGCTACCTCTTGGCAAGTAGTTACCTCAAGATCATTATTAAATCAATGAAACATTGTTTAAAATAAAAAATAGCATACGCATACATTGCTTATATGAAAAGATTTTAAAACTGAATAAGGAAGTGTCTAAAATAAGTACATGTATTTAGTTTCTATGATTAGTTTGTGAAATGTTTGTTTTTAAATGCATAATAAAGTTACAACAAAGACTATAGTATACACAAGACTCGTCACTTGTATAGTTTTAAATGGGGAAAAGTGTGAGTCAATATAATTGATGAATCCCTGCCTTCTAGTACACGAACCAATCAGTGATCGATATAAACTGACAATTCTCTGGGGGTTCAAACCAGACACGAGTTTCTGCAGATTTTGTGTGATACGAACGTTTAGAAATGAAACTAAAGGGTCAGTCGTTGTTTAGTTTTATTGGTTATTCCAAATAAAAATTAATCGTAAGCTTGTCAAGTAATTTTGGAGAATTTAATGTTTCCCCATTTAATTGAAGCATGGTACTGATGAATTCACGATGTGCAGAGTGTATTTATATATTTCTGGTCTGCAACGTTTTTTTGTCATTAAACTAACGTTTTAACTGCATCACCGATGAAAATTCCAGTCACATATTTCAGTATGCAAACAGACTTACTTTCCCACAACATCTTTGAATTGCTTGTTCACCAGTCCGTAATAATGGTCAATTTGTGCCTGTATCAGGAATAAAGAAGAATAATTGCATTATTATAGATTCATTATGCCGTTTATTGACAGTGAAAACTCCTATAAATACTTAATCAAGCACAACAACTGCTTGAGCCAGAAGTTATCATTGCGTACACATGCAAAAGAAACAGAGCAAACCTACCTGATGCTTTTCATAGATCACCGGGCAACTGAAAGCACCAATGAAACCTGTAGGAAGAGCAAAGCTGGAAAATTAGTCATTCTTACATGCAGAATTATAAATGTAATAAAAGAAAAAAAGGAAATTAAAATATAAAAAATATATTTAAAGTTTCATTATATATATATATATATATATATTTTTTTTTTTTTAATAAATATATAAAAATACGATATTTTATAAATCAAATCATACAAATCAAAATCATAAAATAAAACAAATCCAATATTCAATTATGCAAATACAAAATAAAATAAATGGTCAAAACAGACATACCCAAAATAATAAGAGTGAGACCATTGAACAAGGCACCGACATATGTCAGGATCCACATTAAAACAGCAAACTGTAAGAAAAGAGTAAAGCATGTTAAAACAATCCAACAAAAGTGCAGCAGGTCAGAGCAAACATGCAAGAGTTTTTATTAGAAAAATCTATAAGAAAAAAAAATTACAATAAAGTTATGATGACTTGAAGGGACAAAACCGAGAAGACCAGAGTAACAACAGCTTTCCATTTTTTTTTTTTTTTAAATACTTTATATTTGGACTTAAATATTTAAACATTTCATAAAATTTTGGAAGATATCGGATACAAAAAGTAAAAACAAAACATTATACATGAAGTGGGTTATTCTTTTTACACTTCATAAAGAAACTTACTCAACTAACATATCTACATTTAAAGTTGCATAAGATGGAGAGGGAAAAAAAGAATCCAAGAAAAAATTAAATAAATATAAATATTACTACTACTATTATTATTACTACTACTACTATTATTTTTGCTACTATTACTATTATTATGACTACTATCAGTACTATTACTTTCAATACTACTACTACTTTTATTATTACTAATACTATTACTATTATTACTACTATTACTATTATTAACGTAACTACTACTACTACTATTGCTACTACTATCATTATTACGGTTACTATTACGACTACTATCAGTATTATTACTACCACAACTACTATTACTACTACTACTATTATTTCTGTTACTATTACTATTATGACTACTATCATGACTACTACTACTGCTGCTGCTACTACTACTACTACTATTATTTCTGTTACTATTACTATTATGACTACTATCATGACTACTACTGCTGCTGCTACTACTACTACTACTACTATTATTTCTGTTACTATTACTATTATTATGACTACTATCAGTACTATTACTTTCAATACTACTACTACTACTACTACTTTTACTAATACTATTACTATTATTACTACTATCATTACTATAATTACAGTTACTATTATGACTACTATCAGTATTATTACTATCACTACTACTACTATTATTTCTCTGTTACTATCACTACTTTGACTACTATCAGTTCTACTACTGCTACTACTACACTATATAACTATATAATGCCTTGTGGTTTAATATGCAGACATTAGCCCATTATTATTATTATTTTTATTTTCTAATGGTAGTAATAGTTGTAGTAATAATACTATTTAATAATAATAATAATAATAATATTTTTATTATAGAATGTTCTTCTAGTCACAGTTAAGGATTGTCAAAAATGCTCAGGTTTTTGATTGAACATGATAAAATCGTAGTGTCTGTTAATCGAATAAGCTTTTTAGATGAATTTGAAGCTCAAATTTCCATAGTGTGATAACAGACATCAAAACCACTTTGTGTATAAAAAAATAAATAAACTACAAAATGCCTTGTGGCTTAATATGCAGACATTAGTTCATATCACAACATTTTTATTTTCCCAGCTGACCTAACAAATGCCAAAGGCTGTTCAAAACCCAACGGCACATGAACTGTGGCTCGTAACTGGACACATCACTCAATATAGCCGTCTGACCACAGAGAGAATCAATCCGTCCAGCTGTGGAAAACCTCCAGAGCTCTGAAAGGGCAGTGGGGTCTGGCTGTAACTCGATCCACAGCCCATAACCAACTGCTCATCACAGGGCAGTAAATCTCCTTACACGGACGCCTCGGTCCATGGGCTCCCCTGCGTTTCAGACGTGGGTGAATGCAGCGCCAAGAAAAGCCATCAGGTGCTGATTTAACATTAACGGTAGTGGCGCTTTTCCATTACGACACAAACTTTGCTTAGAACACGGCAGCTTCCTCGCATGTCAAACATATTGACGCGAGATTGAAAACCGCTTATTCCAAGATCCGAACATGTATTTAGTGAAACAAGTTGTGCCTGTGACCTTTAGTCCTGCAGTTATCAACAGTCTGTGCCTGCAGGCATTATGAAATTACACCACTATGTTTTTATTAATGTTATAAGTGGTTTTAATTTATATTTTATGTCTAGAATTAAACTGATTTAATTAAAAGAACACCTATCATACTTTCATTTCAGATACCACCTGTTACAGAGTTCGCAATATCTGTTTGTAAATCTGAAAGGTCTCCAAAGTTTCAAAGTTCATGATGAATGGATTTATTGTCTCCCAAAAGAAAGAAACAATTCACTGCCTGGAGTGATCTGTGAGTAGTTCTAGTCTCAGTTCATGCACAGACCTACTGTAAATGTAAAACAAATCTGTTTGTTTTGACAATCTTAATCATGGCATTCATTGGCTGCCCATAAACATCATCTGTTCTGATCTGCTAAACTCAGCTGTAGACCTGGGCTCATGTTGCAGATATAGAGATTGCTTTGTTTTCTGTGCTGCGACAGCAAATCCATTTAGGTGTGAGGACATCTGGTTTAAACTGATATTTGAAAACCTGCATTATATTTATATCACTGTTTAAAAGTCGTAAGGAAGACTCTGGAGCTGAAATACAAATATTGGGGACGTCCAAAGTACTGATTACACTTCGATGTTACTGGGTATCAAATTAATTATATTTAATTATCAATTATATTTATTGATTTTATTAATAATTATATAATTAATAAATAATTAATAATTATATTTATTAATTATAATAATTATATTTAATTGTTAATTATGATTAATTATATTTAAACCTCTTTATTATTTTTATATCACCGTTTAAAAAGTCGTAAGGAAGTCTCGGTAGCTGAAACACAAATATTAGGCAGGTCCAAAGTACTGATTACACTTGGGTGTAACTGGGTATTAACAAATTCTTTAAATTTCACAACTTATTGGAACCAATGTTGTTACATTCCCAAGCAAAGATCCACTTAAATGAAAATTCTGGCACACAACTGAACATTTTAGAATTTGGGCAAAAACTGAAACCAAAAGTGCTTTGTAATAAATCAATTTAATAATCATTTTGTAAGACTTCAAATTTAACTCGTTTATTGGCTTTTTATCAGTATAATCTAAGGTTTAAAATTTTATTGACATTGAATTACCAGCACAGTTGTGCTTTATTGCAAGCAGCAGGAATTAAATGCCCTGTCACCCTGTAAATGACTTGGCTTTTATGGCGAGTATGTGTAGTTTATGTACAGATAAGTATAAGAGGTCAACTGAATATCTCGAGTATAGGGTTCTCATACTTTTTGAAAGTACTTAAATTTCAGACTGATTCAAGGCCAGGAAAGTACTTCAAAAACAAGCACAGGTCCTTAAAAGTGCTGTAATTAAATTTGAAATTCAGCAATTGTACTGTGCTGCTGTCAAATACGAAAAAAAAAAAAAAAAAAGTAAATTCTTAATTTTAAAAATCTTATAATAAAAGACAAGAACTGGGTTCTTGTACAAGAACTGGGTTAAATAATGCACATTTTAGCAATATTTTAGAAACTACATTTGAATATCACCAGTATTAGACAAATTTCACTTAAGTTCTTTGAACATGACTTTGAACTAAGACATCCAAATAATGAAGTGCAAGTGAAATGTTAAGCAAGGACTGGTGCTGCGTATGCTGGGTAATTAAAATGGCTTGATTTGAAATCAGGAAACCCTGAGAGTGTAATATTGAGCCATTTTCAACTTTGACCATAGCGTGCACACTCCGTGCTGTTGTGTTTAAGTTGACCCAGTTTGTTACTTGCCTTTGCATGGTGCAATGAAATGAATGGGTTTAAATGACAGTGCTTTCCGTGTCCAGTGTGAAAGCCAACCAAACAGTGACTAGAGTAAAACCAGCGCACTGCACAAAGTGTGGAGCAGAATAATCTTTTTTGGCTCATAATACTGGGTGTTTGTCTCTTTCATTCGAAAAAAGAAAGTTTCATTTTCAGCCAATAATTACCAGAAGACAAAAACTTGGTGCATCCCTATGACTTGGCCCACATGGAATCAGCGCGCACAGAAATCTGCAGATTTCTAGCCCAACACTGAGTCTGTTTAGTTGTGTATAAAGTATTTATTTAGTTTTAAAATTAATTTCAGTAATACTACTGGCTAATATAAAAAGTTTATATGATTTACTTACAATACATTTTGTAAAATATTAATTTCTGTATTTTAGTAGATATTATAATGACACTTGCTTTGTTTACCAAATAAATAGATCTAATAGGATTTGCATTGTAACATTAAATAAAAAAAGCTTTAAATATATTTTTTATTTAACATTACATTTTTAGTTACGATACACCCAAAATCATTATGCATAAAGATAGATTTTTTTTACAATATTCTGTGCAGAAATAGCAAAACATGTTCGCAGATTCAGTCTGCCCCTACCTATGACACAGATTAACAGGCATTTGGTTTCCAACATAAACTGTAAGATGTGACCAACCACAACAGTCCATCCCATGATCTGACCAATCAGTGCACAGACAGCTCTCAGAAAGCAGGGTTTAGAGAGGCTAGATTTTTTAACAGAAGCTGGCATGCATATTATGGGGGGGGGGGGTAAAAAGTGTTTTGATCTTGGCAATATGTACACCTACTCTGAGACCTTTAAAACTAAACCATTAACCTTTAAATAGCTAATAGGGCACTTTTACTGGGAATCAATTACATTGATGTAGCATTTTTACAGTCATTTTAGTACACCACTACATTTTATTCACCCCAACAGCGGAACTAAATACACAAAATGCATTGAAATGGTACTCCTGATTGAATGGCCAACGCATCAGAGCTGGAATGTTCCCAGCATGGACTCACAGGAACTGGAGCAACTACACATTGGAAGCTGCACAGTGTATTCCAGCTATTTACTGAAGCTCATTCAACCCTGCAGCAAGCTTGGTCATGTGACAGACATCTAAAACAGAGCATCACATGACTGGAATTCCTCAATGCTATATCACAGCTGACGCTTTGACCTCCCCAGCCCCTATAAAAAGAGTTAGTGGCTCGGAGAGATGCAATGCTTTTGCAATACTTGACAAGTCATCCCAATGAAGCTCTTTTAAATTGAATTGAAAAAGAGACAGAGGAAGCGCGAGACAGGTCGGGCTCATTGGCACCATTTCTATCCCATCAGAGCTCAGTCCAAATCCCCTCAGCCTAAATCAACAAAGACTGCTTTGTGGAGTCGTTGATGACCTGCCCCAAAACACAAGACCAAACACCCCAAATCTGACCACCAAAACCTACCAACAAATACAAATGGAATGGAAATTTAAAGCATTAAAGAAACAAAAAAAATATAAATAAAACACATTTAACTAGTATTTCTTAGAAATCATTAATTTAAATAAAATTTATTATTATACATTTTTTTTAATGTTAGGTTTAACAGTAGTTGAACAAAGGCATTAACCAAAAAACATCCAGGCAAGTATGATAATTTAAGAAATTATCCATACTGCTATGCATCTGGTAATCCAAAATCTCACATTAACACCAGTTTTCATAGTGTACTGTATGTTTTTTGGATAATAAAGGCCTCTTTCAAGCCAAATGTTTCAGGAGAAGAGAAAAAAAACACTTTATATTAGATTCAGCATAAACTGTACCGCTTACAAAGGCATTATTGTTCACCCGCCTCGTGAAGAAAATCAACACAAGCAGATTTATGATCCAATCTTCGCCCTGAGATCAGTTACAGAGCCCCAAATCAAATATAAAAAGCATGAACAAAAAAAGAGCACGATCAGGTTTTCATTTCCTCCAGTCTGCTAGAAAACAAACAAACCTTGAGCGAGTCCACCAGATCCTCCACCAGGAAGAGTCGTCGCAGCTCTTTAATAACAGTGTTGATGTGCACCAGAGTCGAGTCGCTGTACTTATGAACCATCTCTGCCGGGAGTGCGGTATCCTTATCCAGGTACATCCTGAAAGAAGAGACGTTTTTCCATGAGGTTTCTTTCTTAATCCATGAACATACTGAGCTAACAATACATCAGACATACACTAGTGCATTGCAGTTACATCTGGTGACCACACCTGGAGTCCACCCGTGAAAATTGAGTATTTTTAAAAACGTTAAACACCCTGTTTTAGGGTGCTTTCACACCTGTGAATTGATTGCTTTGTTCTGAAAACAGGATTAAAATGGTTACTTTGTTGCTCTTTGTTCTTGGTGCGGTTCGCTTTCACACGGCAAAGTTTCTAAACGGACCAAAAGAGCTAACAAGTCATGTGTGTGTAAAGTGTGTGTGCTTTCATTTCGAATGGTCTCACAGACGGCCGTGCACAGAGGTTGCACTACACGTCGATGTGACGTGTAGTTACATTTTTAGAGAGGCTTCTTGCGGTCATGCATAGCCCTCCCCATGGCTGACGCCAGACCAGCCTTTAGGTGTAGACCGGCTAAAACACAAACATCGACCAATTTCTGCATCTGCATAAAATACAAATTCTCAGATTCGTCAAGCCCCTCTTATAATGACCATTATACAAACAGTAAACCAATTACGGACACAAGCAAAATATGCAGATACTTAGTGCATGTGTGAATGGTCAGGCATCTCACGTTTTAGGGGCTTCATGTCGCGCATCACTCCCAGTATGCGCATACAAGCCGCGACATGTTTTCCAGGTACACCAGGTTGAAAACGCTGCAACTTTTCAGAATTTCTTAAGCGCAATGCGATCCACATTACAAGAATGAACCGACCAGCTTCATACTTTGTATGGAATATACATATTTCGATACACTATTTACTTAAAACACACAACACCCAAACACTGCAGTGCTCCATAAATAAAACTTAAAGCTGCAGCAATGTTTCGTTAGTTTCTCATCCTCTGGGGGAAAAAAAAACGTTCATGTCACCTAGCAACGACAGACAACAAAGGAGCATGCGCACAAAGCATGTTGAGAATATTGAAGCAAGCAACACACTCGCATTTTCCATGTGCCTTTAGCGTTTTTCTGTCAGTCCACATTATACAGCATAAGAGGCCTTTCACATATTGCACCTAGACTGAACAAGGAGTGTATGCTTTCTAAAATGTTGTTTAAAACAAAAACGCAGTCGTGTAAACAGCACCTCAGTTCTCAGGAACAGGTCTGATGACTAGTTCCTAAACTACTTTATAGTGGTGTAAATGTCTCGTCAACATCATGTGTGTTGAGCATCAAAGAATTTAACTTGTGTTCAAATCACATTTTATGTACCCATATTAGTGTACAAACCAAATTTTAAATACTTTGTCCAATTCTGCATTTCGATCAAGCACTTTCTAATTTTACTCTCGGAACTGTGCACAAATATGGAAGACAACTGCCTATTATAATGTCACAAATTACTATGACTCAGAAATCAGACTGCACGGTATATAGGTTCAGCATTGATATTGCAAAGTGTAAATGTCATGGTGGGATTAATATAACCTAACAAGTTCTAATAGTGTGAAAGATTTTCATTTTAATGTGTTTAAGGCCTGTGACTTTAGGCTTGCAAGTCACTTTAAACCATCTAGGCACAAAAAATATATATAAACTTTACTACATAGTTCAATTATTTAGACAACGAACACTGTATAATGTTATTTTATGTTTGATTATTGCATTTCTTTGCCTCATATCTGTTAGACTCCACTGAAATCCACGAAGAGATGGTTTTTTTTCTGTATTTTATTTAGTAAATTTTACGCAGATGCACTCCCCCACAAAATTCTCCAAACCAATGTTTCTCAGGTCATCTTGTAAAACTATCACAAAATATCTAAAATAATGGCAGAAAAAAAATGTTAATTTTTTTCCTAATAATCACACATTTCTAATCAGAAATGCACTGTAATTTTTTTAAGACCATATCACTTTACTATCAGATACCTAATGAGCAGCCAGGGAGTTTTTTTGAAGTAAGCTGACCATGAAGTAGACGGCACAGCAAATTACTTGGTTTTGGAACAGAGCCTAGCAGGTTTCATCAAATAAAGCAGCTGAAACAGGCTTTATAAGATATGCAGAGATCACCCGAGTCGTTCCCCATTTGGGTTGCACAATACCAGAAAAAAATGTAACATTGTTGAGTACTGTTATAATGATATTACTTAGGATACAAGATTAACATAGGAAAAAAATGCTTCTTTACTGTTCCAAAATATTATAAATGTTTCTCAAAATAAAATGTACTGTGTTCCAAACGGGAAAAAAGTAGTTGTTATTTAATTCAAACATTTAAAAAAATACATATATATTTTAGAACAGTAATAAATCACAATACCGCCAAACCGTGATTTTTATCCAAGGTTATCGTACCGTCAGAATTTTATACCAGCCCATGCCTACCACTTATTATCTGAATAATTCTGTGAAATATTGTGCAGCACTACCCCCCTTCACATCTGAGGCTTAAAAAGTTTGGCTGCGAGTCAAACCCAACCGCGTGTAGTTCAAACATAAGCACCTCGTGTAAGCCCAGAAGCTAAGCTCCGCAGATCTGCCTCCTTACATGAAACTGGAACACAAACTGATCAAAGCAGGATTATCCTAACCGTTTTACACTCTGGCGACACAAAGTGAACAAAACACGGCATGGAAACACGCAAGAGAAGGCGTTTCAATATATGTTTAGAAGTCTCTCACTTGAAAGGGTGCCCGTCCTCTGACTTCTGAACAGCCTGTAAAATGCCTTTGTATATCCTGAAGGAGACTGTGACGGACAGCAGGGCCAGGGCTACGTAGGAGAGGACGCTGATGATGCTGCACATGCTAAGGGACAGCAGCAGGAACAGACCAGCTCCAAACACCACCCCCGTCCTCTGCAGATCTCGCCAATACAGCAGCTCCACCACTGGAGACAAAAGAGAGAGGAAGAGTTACATCAGCTAGGCCTGTCACCATAATCATTTTTCTGTTAATGCACCAAAATATACTGAGATAAGTGATATTATTGTCATTTTAAGACCATTTTATGCCACCCTTTATATAATGCCAGAATTACAATACAACAGCATCACAATTAGAGCTTCACGTTTAATCAAAGAAAAATTGCAATCGCGATTCGACCCCACACACAATCTTAATTCAGCTTTTCCACAATTCAGCCTAGAGCTGCTCGATTCTGGCTAAAATGAGAAATCGCAGTTTTTTTTTTTGCTTAAAATAAAGATTTTCTCAAGATTCTGTAGATGTAAAATAAAGATTAATATGACTCAGCAATTATTATTGTTTTTTTTTCTCAAACATGGTAAAACAACAATATTTTATGCAGGTCTACTGGTTTCTATAAATAATTGTATTCTACTTATAATAATTCTGATGTTGAATTATGATTGAGATATAGGAATATGCTTGCAATCTGTCATTGACAACTTATTATATAGACCATTTTAATCACTGGTAAAATCAACCTTATATAGGCTGGAGTAGTTCTACTGACCCAGTAACGTTTATTTTCATTCACAACACTGTTCGCTATAAAAGAAAAAAAAAATTTTTTTTTTACATTTTTAAAAATGCTTGTCGCAATCATAACTGTAAAATGCGATATGATTATTTAAATGATATGCTCGCTTTCGGTTTCATTTTCACTAAGTGCTGTTCATACTTCACGCGTGGCTCTTAAACGATCATCCTGTGCCACAAACTGAATATTATTTACAACTTTATTACCCGTTATTCACAGCCTATGCAGGTTCTGTTTACTAAAGTAGCCGCTCGCAGGCCTATCATACGGTAGGGTGCGCGACCGCCCTCTCTGTGGTAACAGCTTACGGTCAGCAGCTTACGTCACGTGTGATTTCTCAGCCGCAAATACATCATTATATGAAGACAAAAATGACATTTTTAGGTGAATTATACCTTATAAATACAGTATGTTAGTCTTTTAACATCATTTGCAGGCTTCCATGTCGCTGAGCAATATATGTGAAACAATGAAAAGACTCGTGCAGCCGCCTTTGCTTCTCTCCTGAACTAGAAAATATGATTTGACAGAATCGTAAAAATGCTGGATTAAGATCGTCTAGGGGGTCGAATCGAGAACACAATCTTTTTTTGATTGTGCAGCTCTAATTCAGCCAATTATAAATTGAAGGTCAGGAGAGAAGCATGAAGGTGGTCGCACATCATTCTTCACATTGTTTTATACATGTTGCTCAGCAACATTTACACCTCCAAATGGTATTAAAAGTGTCACATACTATATTCATAAGTTATAATTGACATAAAAATGTCATGTGTCTTAATTTAATGACGTATTTGTGGCCATCAAATCACACAAGTTTGTTTACTACAGAGAGGATGCGTGCATGCCTCCCAATGACGTCTACTTTAGTAAACAAAACCTGCATAGGCTGTAAAAAACAGATAATAAAGATGTTTGGGAACTGCGAGGGCAGTATAATTTGCATAAATGTTTTTTTTTTTTTTTTCAAAGTGACGGCGGCCATGACGGGCGCACTCAGCAGTAGAAGTGAAACCGAAAGCACGCACAACCTTTAAATGATCATATCGCATTTTAGAGTTATGATTACGACAAGCATTTAATGTTTTTATTTTTCTTTCATAGCGAACAGTGTTGTGAATGAAAATAAATGTTTTCTGGGTCAATAGAACTACTCTAGCCTACATTATCAGAGTCCTTTCATATTCAACAATGACAAATGATTATTAAATAGTCTAATAATTTTCTCAATGACAAATGACAAGCAAATGTCTCAAAACATAACAATTCAACTACAGAATAATGAATAGTTGTATTTTGATGTCATCCCTTATGACTAAGACTTTAAAGTCTGTTCAAGTCAACAAAAACAATAACCTACTCGTATTGATTAACTTTACATCTACAGAATCATAAGAAAATTTACTTAAAAAAAAAAAAAACGATTCTCATTTTAGACAGAATCGTGCAGCTCTAATCACAATGCTAGTACACTAAAGAAAAAAATGAATAAATAATGCACAATATTTCTTTCTTACAAATATTTAAAAAAATTAATTAGTCATTGACATTTTAATAATTGTGCATTGGAATCATAATGTAAAAACATAGGTCCTAAATAAATAATAAATGTTAACAAAAAAAGTGCAAGGTAAAAAAGTAACCAAGGCTCCAATATCTGCTGCTAGATCTAATTTCAGTTTTCAGGAACCCACATGAAAATATACTAGAGTTATTAATAGCAAATACTATAGCTCTTTAACCATACTGACACCTCCAATAGAGATGTTGCGCAAGAAGCTAAAATGTTGCTAGAATTGGATGGATATAGATGTATAGTGTTGTGCGATAAGTCGATAAATTGATCATTGTGACAGGCCTAACGTCAGCACTCCACCAACACATGATCAAACTTTCAGCAGAGGGCAAATAACACACATCTACAGGAGTTCTTTAAACACTCTCTAAATAGCGTTACCAAATTTCCGAGGTGAAAGGGTCTCTAGTCACTTTCATTTCTCAAATTAGTGCATGAAGGCAACAAGGAGGTGATGGAGAATTCATTAGTGGCAAGTCAATATTATCTAAATGCATCATAACACAGAGCATAATTTACATGCTAAAACTACATTAGATTTTTTTCTATGCAGTTTTTTTTTTTACTTATTTCTCCTAGTTTGCCATTCATGTTAAAGAGAATTCACCCAAAATTGAAACTGCTGTCATTAATTACTCATCCAATTTTCATAAAATTCGAGCTTTTGTTGAACACACTAGTAGTAAGTAATTTTTTAAGATACTAGAAACTGGTAACTCTTAACTTCCATATTATTTGTTTTTCCTACAATGAATGTCAAGGGTTACTGGCTTCCAACATTCTCCAAACTATCTTCTTTTGTGTTCAACAGAAAAAATAAACTCATTAAGGTTTGTAACCACTTGACGGTGCCTTTAGGAGTAATGAGTGACTTCGAGTAAATTTATTTTTGTAATAATCATACCTTTATTGCTAAAATAAAACTTTTATAGATATTATATACATCTTTATTTTGTTACTTCAGATACAAATGATGTTAACTTAAGAGTTTAAATGCTGAAACATTGTAACACTTTTTGCCTTTACAATTACATTTAGTGCCCACAGTATGTTTAAAGTTCAAAAGAAAAATGTCTAGAGAGATTTATAAATATACTAATATATTAGCCTAAATTCATTACAATTAATCTGTGAAGAATGACTTAAAATGTAGATTACACTAAATCAGTCATGTAAAGCGTGTGTGTATAAAACTATGATTGACATATTTCACATAAAAACACACAAAACAATGTGTATAAACACACCATTATTGCCTTTTTTTTGATCCTTGTATAGTCATTTGTTTTCGATGTAGTTGGTTACAAAAAATGACAAATGAACACTTGAATAAGTGTTTTTAATAAGGATTAAAAACTCCAAATCTTAACATTTACATATAAAAAATAAACAATATTTAATTGATATTTAAAACATTTAATAGATCATGAAAGATGAAAAACGTAGAGAGCTCTGCTACGAATAATGGTGGGTTTGCAGAGGAGCAGATGGAACAGATTATTTAAATACACAAATGATGTGTGACCACAATACAGAAGCAAAAAGGTAATGTTCAGATCAATGCTATATTTTTTTAAAAACATAATATTGTTGAACTCTGCCTTTACAGCAACACTCAGCCCATGCTAGAGGGAGGATAAAAATAGGACAAACTTCAGTCAGTCAGTCAGTCAAGGACCCTTCAATAATTAAACCAAATCTACAATGTGTGCCAATATAACCGATCAGAGTTCATAGAGGCCCAGTATTTGAGGTGAAGTTGGTTTCATATTCGCACATGCTGAAATTCTCCTTAATATTATAATTTCAGAAAAGTAATATTAGTATTATAGTATTATAATTCAAAATAGGGATCATATTAGCAGCCAATGACTAATCAAAGTACAACATTGTTCAATCAATTAAACAGTGCCAATGTTGTTTTCAAGTCATACTTGAATGAGATTTCAGACCCAATATTCAAATTAGCGTGGCAAACAATATAGGGACTGTTAAATAAAAAACCCAACTTTACCTCAAGAACGCGGTATACACGGGTTACACTCTCTCTATTTGCATTTCTAAAGACAAACATAATCCATTTATGCATATAAAGTTAGTTAAAGGTGATTTAATCAATACCTCTTGGGTCTGCTGAGCTGAACATGCTGCCCTTACTCTTGTACTCCTGCCAAATGACCGTTGCATAAGCTTATCAACCACGAACACTTCACAAAGTAGTCACATTTTAGAAGACAAACGCATAATGCATTCATGTCAGCTCATAAACGTTACAAATATTTACTTATGCGGGTATAATGCACGTTTGAAACACTAGTCGTGCGGCCTTATCAGGACCTCATCAATACAAAATGCACTTTATCATAGGAATTTAATCCAAAATCCTCGACAGTGCTTTCAAACACACGCTGCAGAATAAATGCACGCAAATCTCCTCATACTGACGGAGGAGGGCCATAAGTACAGACAGTTTAAACGGTGTCAATCACTAACTAACCTTGTTTGGAATCCATCTCGCTCATCTGCGATCAGACAGCCTGGGCCAAGAACACACGAGAAACACGCCACTCCGGTGACAAATTGAAGTTCCGGTCAAATTTCAAAACAAAAGTCCCGCAGCGATGCCGTGCGTTTTGAGGTTTTAGATAATAAAAGTCACAAGTCCAAGATAACAAGCAGTTACACCCAGCCCAGTAATTATTGTTTTTTTTATTATTGTAAAATGTTATTTGCTGTTCTAGAAAATGTTAACTCAAGTAGGCTATTTTTAGTTGAGTACAAGTCATGTATTTATCTTCAACAGGCATAA